CTTTTGGTGAAAGTTGAATTTAGGTAAGCAAATGTCAGATATGGTGATATTTAGTCCTTCCTCTCTTTGCATTTCCCTACCTAACAGGGAGTTATCGAGTAGTCTTGTTGATTGATTGCTAGTCAACTGTAGCTTGGCCATAAAAGTCATTGCTTCCTTTTTGACTAGAAGGTGAAGTGGCGGGAGCCCCAATGCAACCTCTAGGGCTGCTGTCGGGGTAGTTCTCATCGCTCCACTTGTCATTATGCAGGCTAATCTCTGCAGCTTGCGAAGTTTATCTATTACAGTCTTCTGTTGTGCTTTTTTGTACCAGATAGCTGATCCATAAGTTACAATTGGTCTGGCAATAGATGTGTACATCCAAAGGCTGAGTTTTGGATTAAGGCCCCAGTGCTTACCAATGAGGTTTCTGCTGGTCCATAATGCCTCTCTGGCTCTTCGTATGACATTGTCTACATGGGAATTCCACGTCAACTTCTCATCTAGAATCATTCCCAGGTATTTTACTTGGGTAACGGATGATAGCTCTTCTCCATTTAGGAATGGGTAATTGGAAAGTACTCTCTTCCTTTTCTTTGTGAAGACTACCAGACTTGTTTTCTTAGGATTTACATTTAATCCTACTTCACTGCACCATCTACTAACGATGTTCAGGGCTTGTTGGAGTCGATATGAGATCATGTCTTCATGTTTACCCCTGACAAGTATGACTATATCGTCAGCATAGCCTTGTGCCTCGAAATGTTTGGCACTGAGTCGATGCAAGAGCTCGTCTACTGCAATTGACCACAGGAGTGGGGATAATACACCCCCTTGTGGGCATCCTTTTACAGTATGTGCTTTTATTTCGGCATTGCCGAGAGTGGATTTAACCATTCTATTTCTTAGTACATTGCTTATCCATGTGCGTGTCGTATCATCTACTCTTCTGTCATGGAGGCATCTTTCGATATGTGAGTGATCAGTATTATCAAACGCTCCCTCAATATCAAGAAAGCATCCCACCGCATATTCTTTGCAATCTACAGACTCCTGTATTTTATTAGTAAGACTGAGTAATGCATGTGTGGTGGATTTATTTTGTTGGTAGGCGTATTGGTTGGCGTGGAGTGGATTTATAGATAAATACTCTTCCCTTATATGCCTTTCCACTATCTTCTCCATAGTTTTTAAAAGAAATGTAGTCAAACTTATAGGCCTATGGGATTTAGGAAGTTCGCTAGGTTTACCTCCTCCTTTAGGTATGTATTTGACAATTGCTTCCTTCCAATTAGTGGGAATGATTCCCATCGCCAGCCTAGCTCTAAAGATATTAATGAGGTAGGGCATAAGGTCAGTTAGTCCCTTTTGTAGGAGTGCTGGAAATATTCCGTCTGCTCCAGGTGCTTTGAAAGGAGAAAATGAGTTGATCGCCCATTTAATTTTATCTTCAGTGAAGATTTTACGAGCAATCTTCCAGTCATTGTTTCTGGGCCTTTTGGTCACCAGGGAACTAAGCTGGGAGATTGATTGGTCGTAAATTGTAGATCCCGGAAAGTGTACTTCTGTTAGAAGTATAAGTGACTCTTTGCAGTCATTGGTATAAAGTCCATCAGGTCGTTTTAGAAGCCCAATGGGATTAGTGTGGCTTTTCGAGATAACCCTGTGGATTTTTGCGCTATTGCTTAAGTTTTGAATCTCTGAGCAAAAGCCTCTCCATGATTCTCTTTTTGCCCTTCTAATTTCTTTATTGTAGGCGGTGAGGGCATTTTTATAATTGTCCCATTCACCGTTGGTTTTTGCCTTGTTGAAGAGTCTCCGGGATTCGACTCTTAGCTTGGCTAACTTTTTATTCCACCATGGTGCACTTCTGTTGCCGGTCTTTTTTCACCGGACAGGCCCCATGGTAGGCATTTATAATAGTTGTGCTTAAGGCAGCATCAGCTATTTCTAAATCATGAATATTTTTTATCGTATGTTTATTACTGCCTAGATTGGCCTTGAGTTCGTCAGTATAAAGATCCCATTCTGTGGCCCTAGGCACCCTATACGATTCCCTTACCTTCATATTTAGATCAATATCAAATCTAATCTGACGATGATCAGACATGGATGTTTCTGCTGAAACATTCCAGTTTTTGATAAAATGTTTTATAAATTGTGTTGCTAATCTCAGAGTAATCACTAACCGCAGATCTTAGATCTTAGATCAGCTATTGAATAATCACGAAACTTATGAGAAATACACAAATTAGTCAGTGAGATGAGTGCGACTCTGCAGAAACCCGCCAGCTATCGAAGAGTAAAAGTGCCCAGATGCACTAACTCGAAAAAGACTCGACAGTAGTTGAAATAATCAACTAATAGATAAAAGATAGAATTGATCAATGTCATATGAACAAATAGAAAACACAGCTTATACTACGTATTATAGACAATGCAATTAGGGCTAAATCTGAAACGGTGAATTGTGCGAAATATGGCAAGTTCCATAAAATTAATAATAAGAAGATAGAAGAACATAACTCTAATAATCTGTTCTACCGAACAATAAAACTAAGAAATTGTGTCCACACAAACTAATTTAATATTACTTTAGAAACTAATACTACTGTTTAAATTATTTAAACAATTTAATATTGAAATTTACCTTGTAGATACTTTTAAATTTTGTTGCTTTTGAACCGAACAGTTATATGATTCTTTACTAACATATTCTGTTGTGGATTCCTGCGATATGTTGCTACAAAGTTTATCAGGTACTCTACTTATAGTTGATGAAGCGTCTTGATTTTGACATGAATTTATGGATGAGTTACTACTAATTTCATTTACGTCTGTGTCTTCATTATTTTGTGACTTCAAAGATGAATACTCAATGCAGTCTTCTTTGTCTATATTTTTATTATTCCGAGATTCTGATTGTATTGAGTGCTCAATCACACTAACTATGTCTGTTTTTTCCTCAAAGTATCTATTTTCTATTTTTGCATGGCGCAGAGAATCTCTCTCTCTTTGTTTTTTCACAATTTTTGTCCTTTTGATTATTAATTCTTTTATGCGTTCAACTTCGTCTAAGTCTTGATTCTCATTACAATATCTGTGTAGATTTTCTATTACTTCTATTACTTCTTTTTTTAACTCATTAGTTTCTATATTAGTATTATTTATATTAGGCTGCGTTATCCTGTTAATGCTACTATTATGCTATGAATAAATTGATTAACATTTTTAATGGCACAAAATTATTCTAATTATACCCTGCTGGATTTAATGTCCGAGTAAACTTTCCCATTTTTGTTTGATTGCTCCTCGTGTTTAATTATGAGTGCTAGCTACAAATATTAAAACAATAACATCATAGACAAACATTTTTTATAAAAATTGATTATATGTTACTTTTCCTCCACGAGATAGTTTTTTTGCAGAAACATGTCCATGATCTGTTTTCGAAGTCATTTGCGATGGTAATTGAAATTGCTGATTCTGAAATGGAATATATTTCGTAAATGATTTTTTTTTTTTTTTTTTACTATTTTCAACAATAAAATACACTAAAATCTTCATGATATAAATAATTGATGAAATGCTAACACAAAATTAAACATAAATTATTTCACGAGCTTATCTTAGACTTGACTTGTGGTTTACTTGTGTAAATCACAAGCAAAATATAAATTGAGAACGTAATACCATGTTCCCACTGCAAGTATATCAATTTATATTAATCAAATAAGGAATTGAATGTTTCCATTGTTATAAGTTAATTTATGCATATGAAAATGCTTTTATGTGTCAAAAAGATCGGTGAAAGTTCTATTAGAGCTTTTGTTATATCCATTACATATTCAATTAATAAGAACAAAAATTTTATTAAATACTTACTTCCTCAGTGCTTTCGTTTATAGCTCAGCTGTTATTTGTTGACATTTTACATAAAAAAACATAACATAAATATCACAAATTTCTAATTTTCTCTTGTAGGAAATTTATATTTAAGGGTTGCATTCGACATTTTTGGTATAATTTTACTTACTTTTCCTTATTTTTAAATAATTTAAAAAGCATGAAGACTACTTGTATGGTTAACGAAATTTACTTGTACCATGTTTCCACTGTTTGCTTAGTAAGTTACTTAAGTGACTTTAGAATTTTATCGTTTCTATTGACTTCAATTATTTATTGCATGTGAATGCACTTTTATGTCAGAGAGTTCTTTGAATACGTTATAGATTTGAAATATATATATATATATATATATATTCAATTAATAAAAATAAAGGTTTTATTAAAGCTTCTTTTCTCAGTATGTTTGTTAGCAGTTCAGCTGTTGATTGTTTACATTGTTTGTTTGGTCTAATTTACCTTGCTCTATTTTCAAGTAAGTTAAAATGCACGGAAGCTGTTTGTATGGTTAATGAAAGCTACTTAATAAGGTACACTTATTAAGTAATCAGTGGAAACATACTTTTTCTATTTTGAAACAATATTGCATTAACACAACAAATTAATTTTTTTTACTGCCATATCTACGAATAATCCCAACAAAAAACATTTTTTACAATTAAGTTAGAAATACCAGTCTTCTTTGTTGCATTGAATAGGTATCACGTCCACTAAAATCGAATTTGTCATCAAGTGCCACTCGTGCATCTTCTGATAAACTGACCTCGTGCACACGCCTTTCAAAATCACTGAGCAACTCCTCGTCATTATATTCATCCATTATAAAAATTCTATTTAATAGAAAAAACATTTCATTAATATACTTATCTAAGCATTTAAAATTGTCAAATCTTTAATTTTATGGGTTTACGTACACGGTTATATGAACGCACTTAGTGAAATATTTGTGTAAATTTATCAATCAGTTGTATAACAGCACTATTTACATCAGCAATATGTATGACAGCTCAAAATGCAATGCTCAGCAGCGCAATTTCTTAAACCAAACGTTTAACCAATATCGTTGCAATAATAAATATTTGTGTAAACTTTATCGATCAACTGTGTCGCTATCAAAAAATTATAAAATAAAATGACAAAATTAATAGAAAAGTCTAAACTATAAACTACAGTGGCTCACAGCTTATTTCGTGCAAGCAATATTTTTGTAGATTTAGTCGTGAAAATCCAAAATTTTGTTCAAAATAAAAAATTTTAAATATGCAACTTTAAAGAATGTTTAGTTCTTATTATAAAACAAAAAAAAAATTTAGCAAAAATATCAATATTCAAGAAGTTAAGTGAACAAAAACAAACATACACCAAATTCTGACCTCACAGCTTATTTCGTGCAATACATTTTTTTTTAGAAAATTAATCATTTTTGGCATAAAAAAGTGAATTTTAGTATTTAGTGGAATAGTCCTTTTGTTTAATTACTGCCTCCAACCCTGAACGCATTGAAATAACTAATTTTTGAGTATATTCCACTGATATTTTTTGACATTCCAATTTTAAAGCAGCTTTCATACTTTCCTTGCTATAAATGTTATGTTTTCTTATGTTAGGTTCCAGAATATGCCATAAATTTGCTATGACACTAAAGTCAGGTGATTGGGGAGGTGTTTGGATGATGTGTGACCAATTCCCAACAAGCCAAGTCTGCACAAGACCCGACTTGTGCTTCAGATCGTTATCCTGGTAAAAACAGAAATTGTTAATTATGCCTAAATATTTGGCATTTTTATGCAAATTTTGCTTTAATATATTAAGATACACTTCCTTATCCATTGTTGATTCTATAAATTGTAGATTACCTACTCCTGCCGCTGATTTACACCCCAATACTATCACATGCTTGCCACCGTGTTTAACTGTGCCATATAAATTTTCTTTTTGGAGCTTAGTATGTGATATATTTGGCGTATTTTTAATAGTATTTCACATATGATATACCATCTGAAGCGTAGAGATCAAATTTACTCTAATTGACAAAAAATACTGCGTTTCAGAAAGAACTATTCTTGTACAGGTGGTGTTTGGTAAACTGCATGCGAAACCGTCGGCAGGCATATGATAGTATTGGGGTGTAAATCAGCGGCAGGAGTAGGTAATCTACAATTTATAGAATCAACAATGGATAAGGAAGTGTATCTTAATATATTAAAGCAAAATTTGCATAAAAGTGCCGAATATTTAGGCATAATTAACAATTTCTGTTTTTACCAGGATAACGATCTGAAGCACAAGTCGGGTCTTGTGCAGACTTGGCTTGTTGGGAATTGGTCACACATCATCCAAACACCTCCCCAATCACCTGACTTTAGTGTCATAGCAAATTTATGGCATATTCTGGAACCTAACATAAGAAAACATAACATTTATAGCAAGGAAAGTATGAAAGCTGCTTTAAAATTGGAATGTCAAAAAATATCAGTGGAATATACTCAAAAATTAGTTATTTCAATGCGTTCAGGGTTGGAGGCAGTAATTAAACAAAAGGACTATTCCACTAAATACTAAAATTCACTTTTTTATGCCAAAAATGATTAATTTTCTAAAAAAAAATGTATTGCACGAAATAAGCTGTGAGGTCAGAATTTGGTGTATGTTTGTTTTTGTTCACTTAACTTCTTGAATATTGATATTTTTGCTAAATTTTTTTTTTGTTTTATAATAAGAACTAAACATTCTTTAAAGTTGCATATTTAAAATTTTTTATTTTGAACAAAATTTTGGATTTTCACGACTAAATCTACAAAAATATTGCTTGCACGAAATAAGCTGTGAGCCACTGTATTTACAAAGATATTTGGCGAACACATTATAGTTGCGCTTTATTCGGGGTCACCAATTATAGTTATAGTAGTAACTATAATTGGTATTATAGTTATTGGTGCTATATAATATCAAATAAAATAACACAATGCACTTTTATGAAAAACACTTGTTTTAGTTTTACTTCTTTATTTCTCAATTCAATTCAATAATCATACAATTACAAAAACGTTACGTTAGGTGTTTTTTTTTGTTTGTCAATTTGATATGGTTCTGGCTGTTTGCCTTTTGGCAACAGATGGCCATGCGAAGATAACAAATTATAAATGAGACCCACAGCCACACCATTAACCACCGCAATGCCGCCACATGGATGGAGGTGAAGAAGAAACTCGAAACAAATCAGCAACTTCAGTACAAGCAGGACGTAGGAGCAATCAGCATAATTAAATTGCCACCGATTTTACAGTCAGATCCAGAATTATGGTTTGCACAAATAAAGAGATTTTTACACGATCACTGCAAATGTGTAAAAGTGTTACACGGTAATAACGGCAGTGGATATAGGCACTTTACATCGGGTTGCAGACAATGCGAAGTGTGCTCCCATAGCAGAAAAATATGTAACTTTGAAAAAGGATTTAGTAAACAGATGTGGTGACTCGAAACAAAAGCAGCTTATGAAAATATTGACGAAGTTAGAATCATCAAAGAAACGGCCATTGTAACTACTCAACGAAATGAGAAATGTACCCGGTACTAATGTTTCTGAGGAAGCATTGACAGCGCTCTGACTACAACGAATACCCAGTGTATTTGTCTGCAAGTAATGTAGTCCGAACAGCTACACAACAACAAACTACCAACAAATTCACAAGTAAGCCATCAGATTACAACAGAGTGTCAATCGTTTGCAGAAAAGCCAAGAAGATACTCTGGTGAGAAATTAACAGCCATTCGTAATGAATTTCGCACAATACTGGAGCAAGAGATTATCAAACAGCTCATGACTGAGCCCAGTCCATCTTGTTAAAAACAAGACAGGTGGATAAATGGCATGTGGTGATCACCGTGAGCTGAACTCCAACACAAAACCCGACCATTATCCAATACCCTACATCGAACAAGTATCAGAACGACTTCATGGAAATGCAATATTCTTTAAGATTGACATTAATCGAGCCTATTATAACATTCCAATGAACCCGGAAGATATTTGCAAAATTGCAGTCAGCACTTTAGTGCGAAAGTTTGAATTTGTCGTAATGCCATTTGGGCTAAAAAACGCAACTTACACATTTTAACGCCACATGGACACAATCTTTCGAGCCACACCATTCGTTTTTTGTTACTTGGACGATGTTTTGATTTTCTCCAAGGACGCAACCATCATGAGCAGCATTTAGACATTGTGTTACATAAACTTCAGCAAACTAAAACTTCAGTAAAGCTCAAATCAATGATGAGGAGGTGGAGCAAATACTTTAGTCAAATTCATCGTTGCTACTGAAAAAGCTACGGCTACAATAAAATTTGTTCACATACTGCGATATCACAACTGGGCGCATAAAACCATTCATCCCCAAATTTCTGAGAAGAAACGTATTTAACCTGGTACACTCGTTATCGCATCCTGGTGCCCAAGCCACATTACATCAATTAACGTCAAATGTTCAAATGTTCTTTCCAGAAACAGACCAACGTTTTGATCACATTCACATTGACCTGATCACTCTTCCAGAACACCAAACTTATAGGAACGCTCTGACAATGATCGATAGATTCCTTACCATCCAGCAGCAAACGGCATGATAAAGCGATTCCATCGTACGCTGAAAACAACTCTCATGGCCAAGCCCGAACAGACATGGTTGCAGTTAATTCCATCAGTTCTACTGGGCTTGAGGTCTACTAGTTTATAGCACCGTTTTACGACTACCTTGTGAATTTTTTTGTCGACAACAGCACACCACTCATTCAGAAAAAGTTCTTGAACCAATTTCGTAGAGGATTGCAACAATTAAGGCCTCACCTCAGCATCGCATCACTTAAAACAGCCAGTTTTGTTCACAAAGGTTTAAAAGACTACACTAATATCTTCTTTTGTGCTGATAATATAAGAAAACCACTTGAGCCGCCATACACAGGTTCGCATAAAGTTATCAAAAGGATAAGTCAACGGATTTTCAAAACTGTAGTGGGTAGCAAACAGCTAAACGTTTCACTACAAAAGCTGAAAGTAGTGTTCCTCGCAGTAAACATTGAGCAGGCAACCGAACCGTCATTCTTAGAGGTATTAATCAATTCAATCGCAACGACAGCCCCAGCAATAGGGTACGCAAAGTAACTTTTACCAAAAAAGACCCTTTGAAGGAAATAATCCCAGCCTCAGTAACACAAAACAATCAACAGTAAATAGCCTTCGGCGCTAATTGAAGGGGGAGTACTGTGGCGGATACATTAACCAGCGCATTGACATCTGGCGAGATGTAAAAACCAAAGTACAAACAGCAACTAACTAATGGTCCAACGTCCAATGGTATTTAGCGCATCTTACCAAAAGCAAGAGAAAAAACAATAATTACGTGTAAAACAATAAATACTCGCAAAATTATAAACATTTACAACAATTATTTAAGTGTTTTTTTAATTAATAATTAAAATTAATTCTTAATTAATAATAAAGTGGTAATACAGAAATACTGCAGATATTTTTGTAAATGACTCGCTTGTGTTGAAATGAGGCTCTGTATTGACAATAAATAAATTTATGCGACATATTTTTTCGCCCATACAACTCGTGGAGTAACATTAGCATGACTTTCTCAGTATAACGGAATACTTTCTCAGATATAAACAGAAAAATGTGCGAACATAAAAGTCAAATACGGCTTAGGGTCGGTTGGTTAAGGAGGGCTGACTCTGAGCTTCAAATTTGGCAGGACACAATTTTGATTCCTGGTACTTGCAGTCTCAAAAAATTATTTACGAATAATTAAATACAAGAATTATTTCCAAGACCACTGATGATGGGTGGTCAGTATTTCACAATACTCGAATCAGCTGTATGTTCAGTCAAAAATTCAATTTTGTTAAATAATATAAAAATAATTTTTGTTGTTGTAGTTCAGTACCGTTCGAAAAACCTATTTGTAAAATTTAAATGTAAACTTATCAAGTTTGTGTAAAGGATTTTTCATACAGGATTTGACACACAACTACTGTCTGCATAAAGCTAATCTTTGTAAACAGTTGAAGGTTCCACAGATGCACATTTGCTTGCGACCGCCCTAAAATTGACAATTGTCAAAAAACAAACTACAGTAGGATTTATATATCTATCCGTCACGATCAAGACAAATGTGCAATTTATATTGTAACAAATCTCCTTTGTCGGTACACAAACATTTTGTACAAATTTTAAGCCACAAATATATTTTTAAATTTTACTACGCAAATTCCAAAAAACTGCAGAAACCGTAATTCACAAATTCTGCCATTTCAAGCAGTGTAATTTTATATTTACCATATTAATTCACTAAATATGTGTTTGTTTAAAACAACATGTTCTGAAATAGGTGCTCCCAATTTAAGAAAAAAGCCTATTTTAACTTACGAAACTGTAATTATAAATGTATTGTTATTCACGCGGTATTTAATAATTTCTGAAATGTTTTTTGTTATGACAGCTCGCGAAACAAATATAGCGTTGCCAACTTCGGTTTATTTTTAAAGGTTGATAAAATTGACTCTTTCTGGCTGTGCCGTAAATGCATGTTATGTAGATTGTCACATCAGTATTGACTATTTCGTATTTTTGCAATAGTTTGGTACTTTTTGGTTGTACCTAAATTTATAAAGAAATGTAGATATGCTCACTTACAATTTGCCACCAAAAATAGCTAGCAAAAAAAAGTTATACAGACTGTAATAATGTTAATTTATTTTTGTAATATCTTATAATAATTTATAGTATCTCAATAATTACAAAATTATACGTCTTTCCTTAAAATTGGAAAATGTAATTGTTAGTAATCCATGAAAGGCATTAATAAATGCAACCCTGCATGCAGAGCAAATTTGTAATGACAGCTCAACAAATGTCAAGTAAGTCAGTCGTCTACATTGTGCCGCTGTAGCAACATTAACTTTTTAACATCATCACGCAACGCCATAAACCACATAAACACAACACACATAAAATACACATCAATTATATTAAATAAAATATTACATAAAACTAAAACTATTGCCTAACAGTAATAATTAAATTATTTGCGGTTTATAAAATAGGCTGTGTTGCTTACTGTTATTTTTTCTCCAAGACGTATTCTGATATACGCCGGCTCTTATGCCGGAATTTAAACCGACATATTTTTTCCTTAATCTCAATTTTTTAATTTGCATTGAAAACAACAACAATTTTATTTATGCCGTGCCCAGGATACTCTAGATAACATGACCCTAATACTACGTTTTCACTGCTTAGTTAGTAAGTCATATAGTAATATTGAGCTTATTGTCGTTTACAGTAGCACAAGTTACTTAAGACATGGAAAACATTTTTATGTGCCAAAAGTTTCTAGTTGTAGAGTTTTTCTTTGTTTACATTTTAATTATAAACAGCTGATATAAATTTTATATTGTTAAGAGAAAATAATTAGATAAAGAAAATAATGAGAAATGATCGTAAAAGATTATATTGTTTTAATTTCAAAAAAGTGATGACAATAGAAATTTCAATTATTGACCATTTTACCTAAACTGTTGGGAAAAGTTGTGCACTTTGTGTAACCTCTTTAACCTTTTCCATTGAAGAAGATTTTCCTCCGACAGTTCTACGGTCCCACATACATTCTGGGTGATTTTTTTAGTTTTACCTTAAACATATTTAATATTAAATTTTTAAATTAAACTTGTAAGCTCAATTATTGCTTCCCATAAAAATTTTTTATTAAATAATACATGATAGTTTATAATGATATGAAATATGTATTTGGTATATAAACTTATTCTTATATATTAATTATATACTTTATTTATGTTTAAAAAAATTCTTACCTCTTGTTTGTTTTAATTTTTTAATTGTTTATGTTTACATTCAAATTTCGATCATTTACAATGTTGCATTCGTCATTTTTGGTATACTTTTAATGGAATTTTGTTAAACATACTATATTTTAAATTAAGTGAACGTAAGTAAACAGTGGAAATGTATTATTAACCGTGGTTCAACAAACTATGATCTGGATTTTCTTTGCTAATGCGAAACAGATCACATGTGAAAGTAATCAACAACGCATCATAAATGTCAACTGTGTTTGTTTACAAAGTTTTGTTTTGATTTGTGCGCATAATTTTGGCTCTAAAAGAATAATTGAAAAAATTTTATATATAAAAAAGAAATATAGAATATGCTAAAATGTCGGTATTTTTTTATTATTTACTTTAAAACTTAACTGCTGTAGTAAATGCTGTAGTAAATAAATTAAAATTGCAGATTTTAATAGAATCGTCCAGCGAAAGTAAATTTGCAAATTAGTGTCTAAAGCGCTAGGGATGAAGGCATTGAAATATTAGGAATTTCATTCAAATTTTCATTTCAAATTTTCATAATAATTATTCATTTTAAAAATAAAACGCTACATTTTTTCGCCAAACTCCATATTTTCATTTCTTGTTGCACAAAAACAAAACAATTTCAGTCCGATCACCAAATGCTTGACTTAAAAAAATGCAAAGCAATTACTTAAAGTTTTGCATCAGCTAATATACAATTGGTACTCACGCTTCCCCTTATTTTTACCTCGGCACTAAAAATCAAATACATTGTTTTCCATAAGAAAAAAATGAGCAGCTTCGATTTCTTACAACCTTTAAACATGTCTTTTAATTTTATTGAAAATACTGAAAGGCATGCGTTTGCCTTCTACAAATTACATCTTATATCAAAAACATAAGAATACACTATTATTTAATGATAATAAATACTTAATACATCATATAATTTTACACAATTTTTTACAAACTTAATTTTTATTATATTTTGTCCAATATATTAACATATTATATATAAAACAATTTTAGTACAATAATATGGATTTTATATGCATTGATTGGGTCTGCTACTTTGGTATTTTTTTTTAAATGAAATATTAAATAATCTTTTGCAATTATTTTACAACTATTATTATTAAAATTATTGCTGTCTCTTCTATACAATATTATAACATGTTAAACACGCTACGAATGAAGTAAAAATGCTAAACTATTTAATAATAGAACCGGTTACTTAATTGCAATTTTCTACAACACTTGTGACATGGGCAAACGTCAGAAATGTGTTCTTGTTGAAAATTGTTTTTCTGTTCGTAGTATTTCTTTATAAATAAAGTTTTAGCAATCGCAAATTGTAGAAAATTACAAAAATTCTACGAAAAAATGAAATTATAAACCTAGTTATTTTATTAACGTAGGGATATCATAATAAAATTCTAAGCAATTAAATTCATATGCATATAACTTTGGTGCTACAAATCTAATTAGAAACTTTTTATTGGCCCTAAATTTTTATTACACACAAAATGGGACAAGTAAAGGAGTTGCATTTGTGCAAAAATCTAAACGACCTGGAGCAGTATTTCAAAATTCCTAATATAACAAATAAGTCAAAAATGAAAAGGTTTGTAAACCGATATCTTTATTACTGGGTGACTAATAGCAAACGTAAATATTTATATATTATATCTAACATTTGTAGTCTCATAGAGTCAGCGCATAAACTTTTACAAAACGGGAATAAACATTACCAGGAGGGGGATGAAGAATATGCCTATATATATTATATGCGATATTTTAACTTGCTGAGCACTTTGCGCAAAATGCCCACCTATACGGAGTACAAGATGTCCATACAAAAAACTCTCGGAGGAAATACAGCGAACGCAATAATAATGGATAAATTGGAAGAAATGACTAAATCACTTAGTGAACGTTACGATCGCTTGAATGAAAAAAAAAATGTACCACCACCACTCACCGACGATGATATGAAATTTTATAATAATTTAAGCGCTTCAGATAAATTTAATGTGGTTAAAGCATCACCAAGCTATGAGCAGATAGGCGATGCACTTAAATTGATATCATGTAAACAATTATTTCAGCTAATGCAAACAAATACTGTACTTATAATGGATTGTCGTTGTGTTGACGATTACAAGGTATCACATCTAAACTATAATTTTTCTTTTAATATACCAGAAGAAATAATATTACCAGGGTAAGTACGAAATTAAATAAATGTTACTAAAAAAAAACTATTGAAAATTCTATATATGTATTTATTAAAGGTTATCGGCAGGAAAACTACAAGATAAATTGGACAACGAATCGAAGAAATTTTGGTCGGCACGTTCTATAAAAGATCAAGTAGTACTTATGGATTGGAACTGTAGAGAAGCAACTCCAAATAAAACCAAATCTATTGCTGTATTACAGGATATACTGCAAAATGTAACTATTTTATTAATTAACAAAAATTTATATTATGCGAACAAAAGTTCTTTAAGTTTATACTCTACACAACGTATGATTTAATTGTTTTTGTGCTCTTTTTTATTTGTAAACACTGTAGCAATATCATATTTAGAGAGACTTCTCTGAGAAGCTTTTAGTTGAATACCCATAGCTCTGTATAGTTAAACTATTCAGAATAGTTGAATAGTTAAACTATGATTCCAGGAGCAGTCGGTCCTACCTTCTAGAGCCTTTCGTCTAACCCGACGACCAACTGCTGGTCACTACTCTCCATGAGTCCAATCATCTATTTATAGTATTGTATTAGGCGTAAATGAAGCATTTATTCATTTGTGATTTTATTTTTGTGATGTTATTTACTTATGTGTATTTATAAGTAACAGTTAGTGCTTCAAAGTGTGAATATGACGAAGCAGCTTGCAGCTCGAATATACATAAATTAAACCATTGTTTACCACTCGAACAGCAAATTTGCTTTATGTTTTTATTATTTTTTATATATTTGTTTATATATAACACTCATATGGTGTACAATAATGCTCGAGCGACTCACTGTGTTCACCGAATGTTTGAGCAAAAACAAACAAGAACATCACAATAGAATTTGTAGTTCTAGTATATATGGCATGACTCATATTAAAAGATCTAAAATGCAGAGGGAGGGTGACTCTCTGCATCAACTAGGATAGTCAATTTTTAATATATAGGTATAATAGATCTATATAAAATAAATAATCTAAATCCCTCAAGAAATGTTTATAATAAAACCAGGTTTTCATCTCTTTTTTTTTTTGACGATTTTTAGGGTCTTGTATTTTGAGACTATCTCCCATTAAAAAAATTTGTTTCCCTATGATTGTTATATAAACTGAGAACTTATTTATTTTATAAGAGAAACATATATAACAAAATTTAACTTTTTTAGAAGTTTTTATTATTTTTATTAGTTTATTATAGTTATTTATAACAAACTATAATAAATAATTTTACATAATAAATTTATACAGTCAAACTTCCATAACTCGAAATACTGTTATGCAAAAAAGATTTCGATTTATGGATACTTGGAATAAAAGAATTGTAGGTAACTTGCTCTCTAAACCCTGTTGCACTCAAATTAGTTCGAGTTATAGAAGTTAGAATTATGGAAGTTTGACTGTATATATAAAAATATATTTTTTTTATATTTTATTTTTAACGTCAAGGCGAAAAAACTATTTCGTTAATATAAACTATAGTTTTTAGTAGAAAGATTTTTTTGACAGTAGTGAATTGCAACAACACATTTTATTATTTTTAATTATTTGAATTTTTGGCTAACCATACAGCTGCTTCGAATATTACAAAATGCTAATCATCAGTGGTCTTTTTGGAATTATTTTAATTATAATTAATTTTATTATTTTAATTCATTTCCAAAAAAAAAACTGATAATAAGTATTTGGCAGTAGTCAAAACAGAAGTAGGTGTCGGGTCAAACAGAAATTCAATTAATTAAAAATAGTGTTGTTGTAATTCACTACTATTCGAAAAACCTGTCTATTTTTTTATATATGAATGATTTTCATTTTTTTTTTATATACATACTATTATTATTTTTTTATGTATATTATTTTTATTTATATATATATAATTATTATATTTCTTTTAGTGGGACCCCGATTGCATTTATCGTTCTCCAATAAAAATAGTCGATGGCGGCTATGAATTTTTTATAATGATGTATCCAACTCTATGTACAAATCCTACTGTACAATCACCACATCATAATCAACAAAATAATGATATGATAGATGATATTGAATATCCTTCCATACACGATATTACAATGAAAGACGATATGCGTCCATTTTCACGAAGTCCCTTAAATTTTAACCAATATACCAACTCGGTTGTCTCAACAAATCAAGAGCGTCCGTTCATTGATCGTAGCAGTAAAACAGCAGCGCTAAAAACTTATAATGAGAAACAAAAAGCAATTGTAGAAATTATGAAAGAACATGATGAACTTGTAGAAAAGGCTCAAGCAAATGATGAACAGTTAGAGCAGGCTCAACAAAAATGGAATACAGTAACAAATGTAAACAAATTATCAACAGCAGAACAACAACTTTTATATAATATATGGCAATTAGAGAGTGCTGCTGAAGACTATGTGAGTATTGTATGCAACAGGTTAATTTAAAAATGTAATGATATATGGTATAAAAATTATTTTTAATCAATTTTAAAAATACTCTTATTAATCATTAACATTATATCGTTTTATCATCCTATTATATGCAACATTTTTAAAAATTTTTAAATTTCTTTAGCGAATTGAAAATAACCGACTAAGAGATGAGCTTGAAAACTACAAACGACTTGATAGAGAAACAGAAAAGGCACCTGCAATTGAAAATGAAAAAATAGAGGAAGTTACCAAAAAAATTGAGACCAAAATACAAGAACGTCAGAAAGTTGATGAACAACATGAACGTGAAAAGAAACAGCGTGAAACACAATTGGCTATTGCACGGGAAAATAAAAGACATATGAAACCACCGGTTTTAGAAGATGAAGAGATGTCACAACCAAAAATACCCCAGTTTGATCGTTCGGTCAAGCCAATAATCCCCAACAACATAATAGAGACAATACATGCGGAAAAAAGAAGAGATTTTTCACCAATACCTGGTTCAATGGTAGCTATTTTTATGTCACATTTCTTTTATTATATTTCAAAAATAGAAAGACTAAATTTAGTATAATCGTAGCTTGTCTGATAGATATATGTGAAAATCTGAAAACAAAAAAGTCACATACTTTTTCAGATTTCCAGGTCGTACACACGTCATCCATGCTACCCGTTCGTTGTTTATAAATAAAAATATAAATTCTAACAAACCAGTAATCAATATTTGTTCAGTCAAAGAACGCCATTTTGGGCTAAAGTAGTCAATAAACTTTTTTGTTACTAGTTCTTAAAAACGTGACTATTGCTTATTTACATTCTTCTTCATATATATACAAAGCACATGCTTTTATTTTTGCAATATCTTTCAGAACGAACAGTAAAAACCCTAATAACAAAATAATTTGCTAAAGAAATGTTTTCAATTTCTTTAAATAGTTCCTCTCATTGTTTCTAATTATAGACATTATAGACTACGTAAAGATCTGTACTGGACTTTAAGTGCTAAAAACAATTTTGTGTATTTTGCTGTACTGCAGTACCTACCTACTCTACCCTTACTAACACACTATATTGTAACCCATGTATTCGAATTTGTGAACCCTTTCATGTTTGCTGCTGTATAGATCTCTAAGGATTACAACAATGTATTTCCTTATAAAGTGAAATGTTCTAAAATAAATTAAATCAAATATTCCTATAAAACCATTTAGTTATTCTGTTTATATGTGTATATTAATTAATTATATATACTTTTCGCTTTTTTTCATTTAGCGTCATTAGATCGTTTAATTTATATTAAAGAGAACATTTCTCTTACTCCTCCGGTATTATTGTATTATTTATCTTATGATTTAATTTTGATTGCATATTTATGGTAGCTAACGAAAGCTAACTCACACTTAACATATAATTTTAATTGCATATTTATAGGGGCGAAAAAATTGCTCAAAAATATCAAAAAAGTAACATAAAATTTACTTTATGATAAATAAAAATTTATTGTCATAAAATAAACTATCAAAATTAAAGTTTTAGTTTATAATCTAAAGAGCTTGGGATGCAGAACCTAACAGATGTAGACAGAGCCCCTAAAATTCCGAAGCTGCTACAAAATATTTAAAATTGTTTGTTTTTAACAAATTTTGGACTTAAAATAAAATATTGTTAAAGTCATTAACTGGTTTTTATGTGAATGTAGCTTAGAAGTGCGTTGAAATTTCAAGGTTTCTGTAATTTTTTAATTCAAATAATTAATTTTATGATAAAATTTTACACATATTTAAGATTTTACAAAAAAACGTAAACACAGCTTTTAGATATATCGTAAACATTCCTGCATTGTAATGTCATATTACCCTTTTCCTCCATTAATTATTCAGTTTAAGCAATTTATATTGGTTTTTACTGTAGTTCCATGTATATTAGCATTTTAACACAAAATATTGCATTGATTCACATTCTTACAATTTACAACTTTGTGGTGTTAATGCGCATATTCCATTCTTATTCTTAAGATGTACTACTAAAAGGTGTTTTTCTGTCCGCAATAGTCATTCCTTGCCATTGCTTTTAGTATGTTGTGTTCAAGCGCTAAAGCACAAAAAACTAATTTATTAAAAACGTGTGCCAAAAAATTATTTAAAAGATGATTGTGGTCGCAGGTGTAAAATTTCAACTGCCAACAACGCAACTTAATATCTCATTCTACCCAACTAAAAGGGTGTGTAACTAATAAATATTAAATACAATAAATTGTAATTTATTTGAAAAACGCGCCAGTTGTTTAAATTTAACAAAAAAAAAAAAGAAAAAAACTAGGCGCGCCTAAAAGTTTACTTTGTAAAGATCAATTAAATTTATGTAGCAGATATTTAGGCGTTAACATAATTTATTGGCGAAATATGTGTCAAAATAAAATATACATATACATATAGGTATATGTGTGAAATTAAAAATGAAGTTATAATATAGAATTATGGTATGGTTTTGATAAAATAAAATATAATTTAAAATATATATTATTAATTAATCCATTCTTAATTATAAATATAAATTTTATTGTATATTTACATATATAATTTAGGCTCTTTAAAAAACTCCATTGATATTAAGCATCTATTTAATGAAACATGTTTTGTTTATTATAAAGATTTTTTTATGTGTTTTAATAAGTAAAATAGTTCAAATAGCGTGCTTGTTATTTTGGAACGTAATTATTAAACGAAAAAAACTTTGCAATTGTAAAATATCGTTTATGCTAGAAGATCTAAACATTATGATATGTCTTTTGTAATTATCCAAATCAAACTATAAGATGGGTACTAGAGTTTTTCAACTAGTTCAAAAATTCTTCTATAACATTTATTGAATTGTTCGTTAGAGAATTTTTTGTTATGAATAGTTTTAGGCTTAAAGATCTAAAAAGAATGGTTGTGTATTTTTTATAAAAAAAAATAAGCAGTCACTTATTTTTATATATCTAACTTAACAAAATGATTATAATATCATTAATATTGTTCATCCCAATTTATGTGTAAATTAAAAGAGTTATTTAAATCTCACACCACTTAAAACAATAAAATAAATTTCTATTCATAAATTAAGCATATAAAGTCCAACAAGCAGATCCCAATTTTTCGGGCGCCAGAACTTGACAACGAATTACACTAAATTTTAATATTCTAAACAACTTTTTATACTATACTATATATCGATATAGCTTGATTCTTGAGACACTGAAGTATACTCTAATTTCTTTCATTTGTTTTCCTTAATGTATGTTATAATAGTTGCTTTTTCTCTTAAAAGCTTCGTCTACTTACTGCAAAAAATCTTCAGAATACGTCAGGAAATTTAGCAATCCACTGCAAATTTCAATATGACGTGGTAAAAAAAACATGTCATCAGGTGAAGATGCCTGACTGTAAAATTAATGTAGAAACTTATCTTTCATCCCTTTTGTCTACACTCGAATAGTGTTCCTCAACTAGATATGTAAAATGTAAAAACAAAAGAGGTATTTAAAACTCATTAACATCTTAAAATTCATGGTAGTTGCTCCGCACAATAGATCTCCAAGTCACAGTACATTTAAATTTATAGTTGGTCAGTTACAGTAGCAGATCAGCAGGTATCCTTCCACTTCCCATAATTAGCAAATTATACGTCGTTTTACTGCCATATTTACTACTAAAGAGATTAAAACGAGATACACCCATCCAAACCTATATTGATAAAAATAATAATAAAATATTGATAATATTGGCGCCATATTTCACATTATCCCACAATATTATAAAATAGGTTTGCGATTCAATATATAGGTGTTCGAAAGTTTCCACTGCATTACATCCCAGTGATTTCGTCTCACCAAGATGACACTTTGCTTAATGCAATTACTTAATACTGTTTAAAATAGTTATTTTTGATTTCTGTCCTATGTTTGTCTCTTTCCCGCTTGTGTATTTCGCATTTCTGCTTGTCGGATTTGCCGAGACTAAAAGAAGTTCCTTAATAGTTATATATACATTTCATATAACATTTATAATCTTTAAGATGGAGAAAAGAATCTTCTAAAAAGAAGCAAAGTTAACGAAGCATTTAAATTCAAATATTAAATTATTTTATAATCAAATAAAATAATTTAAATTGTTTTATTACTACGTTATCATTCCATAAAGTTCTTGAAGTAGTTATTACATTATTAATTTTTTAATAAAATATTAAGATATTTTTCATATTGCGATTAAATTTATAAAATAATAAAAGTAATGGTTTTTCGAAAGTTTATACAAAGAAATTTAATAAAACTCTACATTAAATGCCAATATTTTTACGTTAAACTAATAAAAAATATATTTTCCTCATTTGCAACTGTAAGTTGGAATATTAACATTATCAGCTTGCAAAACTCTCAATAACCTTATCAAATATTAATGTTACTAATCATTTCCTGTTTATTAGGGTCGCGGGTTGACAGGCTTAAAAAACCTCGGCAACACTTGCTACATGAACAGCGTACTACAGTGCCTGAGCAATACGCCACAGCTAACTGAATACTGCATAACAAACCAATATAAAAACTATATAAATCGCTCTAATAAAACGAAAGGCCATATTGTTGAGGAGGTAGCGGCACTGATTAAAGTTTTATGGAATGGAAACTACAAATGTGTGGCAAGTAAGGATTTACGTGTAAGTAAAAAACTCCTCCCATCAACTTATGTTATCATATGAAAATATATAATAAGACAAATTTCTTATTTAATTTGTAGTATGTCATTGGTCAGTATCAACAAATATTTCGTGGCATTGAGCAACAGGACTCTCATGAATTTTTAACAATTTTGATGGATTGGCTGCATTCAGATTTACAAACCCTAGATGTACCTGAAAAATCGCACGATAATTTATCTGCCTCAGATAAGGCATGGTCAGAATTCACAAAATCTAAAGAGAGTGTAATATCGCGTTTATTTTATGGTCAAATTAAAAGCACAGTTAAATGTATCGAATGTAACAAAGAATCTGCCACCTATGAAAGTTTTTCAAATCTAAGTTTTGAGTTACCTACAAATAATAATGATAATTTTTGTCCTTTGGAACAATGTATGGCAATGTATTTCAATGGTGAAGTTATAACTGGTTGGAACTGTCCAAACTGCAAACAACAACGAAGAGCAATTAAAAAATTAGATATATCAAAACTGCCACCAGTCTTGGTAATACATCTTAAGAGGTATGTATATATATAATAACTCATATGCTTCGCCCCATGTAAAATACTTACTTACCGCTGTCCTTCTCTCCTAGTGGAGCATAGGGCCTCAAATCCATGTTAAATATAGGAAAAAAATAGCATTAGTGTTTGCTTACCATCTCTCAGACAAGAAAACAACTTAAATTTATTAGCAAAAATAACTAACACATCTGAGATAATAAATTTCTGCCCTACCAAAATAAATCTAACTAAAGTTAGTATTTTTTGCAGAGTGCTAAATATTATTGCTATTGTGTTTAATGCATAAAGAAAACTTAACCTGTGGCTATAATACAGCCCAACTAAGTTCAACCTGTTGGTATCGCATATCGCACATTTACCACCAGCACAATTAACTTATGTCTAAGTAATATTTAATTGCGTGCCACATATGTGGACATACTAATGGCAATGTTATGCATAAAGATCTTCCTTCATGAAGTATTCGTCAATTCCTTTCTTAGGATTACATATAAATTGGCACCTGTTGCAATAAAATCAACTTCAGAGAAATCAAATACAAACGTGTACTAAGATCCCTCCACACGGATAAATATGTTCTTCTAAACAAAGGCAACAAAATTTTAAAAGACTTTTGCCTGATATTTCCAGAGAAAAACGACGCCATCCACATGCAGCAGGTCAAGGTATAGCCATGTGCTGTCTATCACACATAAATACGTCAATTCTCAATGTGTGTTTCTGATGTCATATTTCAATGCATATACCATTTTATGTCATCTTGATCTACCATATTACCTTACCTTTGTGATTAATTTAATTTAATAAAAATTATATCAATTTTTTATATACTCTTTCAGATTTTATGCAGATCCTGATGCGCTCGGTAATTCTTATAAAAAAAAACAGATTTTTGTCAAGTTTCCATTAGAAAATTTAGATATGAGACCCCATATTGCCAAATCCGAATTAAGGATTTCCTCACCGAAAACGTATCAGCTATATGGCGTTTCTAATCACTATGGTTCTATGGAAAGTGGACACTACACCGCTTTTTGCAAAAGTAACACTTATGGCAAGTAAGTGAAAGCAAATGATATAAATTTATATATATATTGTAACATAGCAACCGTATACAATTATTTATAATAAAATCTTTTTTTGAAGATGGTTCAAATTTGATGATCAGGTAGTTTCAGCGCTTGATGCCTCCAGTGTTAATTCCAGTGCAGCTTACATACTTTTCTATTCGTGGCTACCAACTTTTAAAAATTAGCGTAGAACTAAAATGCGATTTCCAGCCAACAGCATAAATCTCAGTTAACATTAAGTAATAAAATTATTAGTTATCTTTTTCAAAATTTTGATTTCATAAACCAAATTTTAGTTAACGTTATTGATTATTTATTTTGTGCAAATATATTATATTAGAAACATACAATACAATGTAATACAAGTTTTTGTTATAAAAGCTTCTAGTCGATCTAGAATTTCAATATTGGCAATAAAATGAAAACTAAAAGTTTATCAATGAAATCGATTGATTTTTAAATAGTAAAATACTCTAGAAAAACATTTTAATATATTTTTATAAAATTTTGAGTGATTTTATTTTTATTTTAAAACAACTCATAAAGCCTTTTTAAAATATTTAATAATAATATGTATTAAAAGAATTCAAAATTTTCTTGTTTTTTTTTAAATATATTTATTGACGTAATTTTTTTTTATTAAAATATATTTAATGTTATTAATTGTAATATTAATTTACTAAATATGTTATTTATATAAAATGAACTCTCTTACAAATTAAAAAAAATGTTTAACATTTATATATTTGTTTTATAAATAAAAAAAGTGCAAAAAAATACAATTTAAATAATTACCAATAGAAACTTGAACAAAATGTAACTATTTTTAGATAAACTAATTCAATAATAAACAAATATTATTGAACAATTAACTTTTTATAAAAATAAAAAAAAAATTGAAAAAAAAAAATAAATTCACAATTTTAATGTATATATTATAAACGTCATTAGACAAACAACTGTGAGCTATGATAATGTAAAAATTATTAATAAATGTATGTATATGTATATATACGAAATAATTTTATTCTAACTATAAATAAAATGTGTTCAAAATTAAAGTATTTTTTTAGGCTGTACAAGGATATTTTAAGGGTGTAATTGTAAACACGATTATCATTTTTTTGTATCCATTACCACTAGGAAAAATTACAGAAACAAAAAGAATATTGTGTATAACACAAGATCAAATTATAAAATCCTATAACACTTGAAAAAGTTTGCAAACAGAAAAATATTGTCTACAACACATGAGCTGATATAATAATAATAGCAGAATATAGAAATAATAACAGAAAGAAAAAAATAATAAGAATAATATTGTCTACAACACATGTGGTATAATAATAATAGCGGATTACAGAATGAATCTAGATTTTAAAGCTTTGGAATGAAAGCGTAAGTCAAAAAGCCAACAAGTTTATTATATGTAATAAATAACAGTGGAACAATTGGATGGCTTTATATAGTGAAGATTTGGAATTGTAATTTCTGAATGGTTGGGATTATATTATATAAAGATGTGGTGTAATTCCTTAATAATGACATACACGCAGATTGATCGTTTATTTAAAAGCACATTGTAATATGTAGAGTCTAAAATTTGAAAGATTTGAATTTTTGATGGTTAAATAGAAATATATTGATGACTCCGCAGTTAATAAAAGCCATTTAGCACACGAGGTTAGCTTTATTAATAAAGAATACTTGTAATAATATTAGGCTATCTATTTGAGGACCGCATTTTAATGAAGGTACTCACACACGAAATATCAAACATTATTTGAACATTATTATCTATCGAGTGTAATAGAACTATACTTGTCATTTACCCAAGATCGCATATATTTCTCATGATACCTTCAATTCTGTCAATGAATTTTATTTTATGACCGCAATGAATTCGAAGCGCCTTATTTAAAATTGTTATTTTAACTTTAGAAATATGTAGGCGTCAAAAAGGGTCTTTCAACTGAGTGCGGTGCTTTATTGATCATAACATTGCAAACTCTGCAAACACCTACATGACCTTGGCTTGATTAAAAGCAAATGTTACTGTTTCAGTTGAAACAGCTAGGTTCGTTACCACTAAAACCTAAATGATATATAGACGTTGTCACTTGAACTTGCTTGAGGTGGAATACTTTATTTAAAGTCAGCCCGACCGTTGTCAAAGTAGTGTTTCTCACTCCCTAGCATTAATATGTAGTAAACGGACACCCAGTCTTCGGCGACTTTTTTCCCCCGGGAGCGCTTTCGCATTAATTCAATTAGCCATTAAATTGTTTAAAGCAGTGGTGGATTTTGCTGCTTTCTCTACTGCAGGCTTTATTTGCGCTCAAAACGTAAGTCTCCCATTGAGTCTTATTCCAAGGTAATTAATAATTTTTTTTTAACTTGAGAACATCATTATGTTATTCACTCACATTCTATTACCTATTATCGTGCTTACATTAATTTTGTATATGGTAATATGAGTGTGATAAAAGCCAACTGTCACTACCCCCCAAAAAAATTTTATAAAGAAAATAGGTCAGGTTGAATAACAGCCTCATGCAAAACTCACTTGATCTATATTATTACTTGTGGGTGCTTGGATTGTTCTAAAAAATTAATCAACACATTGGTCAACCTACATTATGCAGTGGTCCACATTGAGCCCTTTAGGTCTAAGCATGCTGGAAATCACATTTTAGTCCTAAACTTAGATTATTCTCTCTCATCTTAATACCTTAATACCTTTATGATCATATATACGCACTATTAATAATATATCAAACTTTTCATAAAATCTCTGAATATTATTTATTTAATTTAATATAAATTGGCTACCAGTTAATTTATTTTTAATTTAAAAGATTATTTTTAACAATTTTTTAATTTAGTTAAATAAAAAAATTTTTAAAGGGACATTGAACTTTTACTAATATTTAATTTTATAATTAACAATAATATGTATTTACAAATATTACAAATATCCGAAATAAAAGGTAATATCATTTACAGTAATGAAATATATATTAATATATTTTTATGTTAACAGTAAAAGCTAATAATCTAATAAAAGTAATGTGAAAAACACATTGGAACCAATGAGCGATTTACTCTTCAAATATTAATAAAATTACCGACTTCATTTGCATTGTGAATGAAATTAAACTAATTTATTATTATTATTCCTGCAATTTGTCTTTTCCATTTATACATATTTGTATTATATATTTAAAGAGAATTCGTTGTATTTCCAATTATTTTTATATTGTTTCTATTGTACCCTTACGTCGCTCACCATTGTTAGTGCTATCATTGCCAATAAAGGAAGTCTCCTCTGAACTTGGTACCGCTACTACGACCTCTTTCGCTATAGTAACACCATTTATTTGGCTTAGTAGAGTTGGCTCACGTGGAGAGGAGCTATGTACTGATAAATGTTCATAATTTAATGTACGAGAAGGTGTTTGTGAACGTGAACTGCCATTAGGCGTTAGGCCACCCCGTGAATGTGGACTATTATTACGAGAATGTTGAAAATCCTCCAACGGTATTTCCTCCGAACTATTTAGATATAAGCATAATATTGATTTATTTTTTTCAGTTTGCTAGAAATTTCTTTTGAGCTTACCGCGGTCTTGGCATACGTGGACTGTTTTCTCGTGAACGAGTACCGTTTCGATTTCGCGAGTTATCTCGCGATTGTGCTGAGCTTTTACTACTACAGGCACTGCCTGGTGAATTTTCGCGATTGTGTGATACAGAAGAATTTGTACTAGTATTGGAGCTACGTCGTCTTGAACGTCCTGAGCTTTCATTGCGAATGCTACGAAAGTAAACAACAAAATAAAAATAAAAACACATTTTTGAATATTGCACCAAATTATAATATATTTTAATTAAATCAATAAAAATTAAAAATATATACATAATTCAATGTAATTTTACCAATATTCTATGTAAAAATAAAAATTATTAATTAATGTATCATTTCTACTGTGCGCCAAATATTCTCATTAGTATCTATTGAGTCTATTGAGTATTTCCAGTGCCTTCCATCCTCCTGTAGAGTGCATCTCTATAAATATTAATAAGCGCTTGATTCAAGGCACTGGAAATTGTAAACCATTCACACCTTAAATATTCAGTTTCAAAATTATTAATAAATTGTTTGATATTAGTTTATTAAAGTTTAAACGAATTTTGTATTTTTTTAGATAAAAGAGAACTATTTATAAACAATATTAAACAAGAACACTACAACTAAAAAAACTGAATATATTTTAATAAGTTATTTTTTATAATTAACTTCAAGACAATCTATAAATTAAAATTAACGACTATATATTTATAAATATATTATTTTTTTCATTATAAATATGTACTGTGAAAAAAATGCAAAATACTTATATTAAATATATATAAACATTTATTTTTATTAATTATTTTTTTAATTTAATTAACTTGGAAGACGTTTCATCAAACGTTTAAATAAAAAGTCAGCTTAACAAAACTTCATGCAATTCCTTCAAATTCTTATTATTATAAAGAAATACTTTCAATATTAAAATCACAATTAATAAAAAATTTTATTTTTATAAAAAAAACATTTTTATTTATAAATTGAAGTGCATTTTACTGAATTAAAGAAACAAGACAATTAAAATTTTTTAAATTATATTTAAAATAATATATTTAACTACCTACATAAAAGAAATATGTGTCATTATGAAATTTACTCAATATTAAAATAAAGCAATATTGTCATTTTGTTAATTATTTAACTCGAATTCTTAATAATATTCAATTTAAAAAACATATAATCGTTTAACTTTACATATACTTTGTTTTTGTTTTGTTTTTAATACTACTTTTTTCTTTAATTATTAGTATATTCTACAAATTAATTGAATTGTAATTATGTCAATTAATTCACATTGTTTTTAAATCATAATTTAATAACTTTGTAATAACTACATAATTTAATAAATTTTTATATATACCGTTATATGATATATAAATTAGTTTGTTTATAAAATTTTTTATTAGAAGTTTGTAGCCTTCATCATATATATATATATATATATATATAACTTCATAATTTTAAATATAAATACAAACATAAATATAAATATTTATATATATATATACATATATAAATATTTATTGATTTATTTATTTATAATAATTTAAAAAATAATAAAATAATAGTTTAAAAATGATAATCACAAAAAATAATTATAAATATTCAATAACAGCATATTCTGCAATCAATTATCAAGCTCTATTTATTTAATATAATTTATTATTTTTGTTTAGTACAATTGAAATATTTTAATTAATTATTATATTTAGATATCCATCTCAATTGTATATATATTTCTTTTTCCGGGCGTTAGGTTCTTTTTTATAACTTT